GTCTGCACCTGGCAGTCATATATTATGTACCTAATGAACAAATGACATGTTTAATAACTGTACCGTGAAAACAAAGCTTAAAACAGTAAATTCCTGCTGAGGCTGCTCATCTACACCAGATGCACACTGCTGGCCATCTCAGAACTCCAGCGTCATTTGTATTTTCCCCCTTTAGGGGGTCCTGCTGAGGAAAATAACATTAAAACCAAAATGATGCTCACTTAATTAGTTGTGTATCAGTGTCGACCCATTTATTTAGCCTATCAACATCATGTGTCAACTAAGGGTCACCTGACACACTTCTTCAGTATGCACCCTAGGTAGGTGGAAATCTATAGCTTTCAGATTGGGCATTTGAATCATGGATCATTTAAACTCACAATAATTTAATACTGCTTATTTCTAGTTGAACTGTTGTTTGGAAAAAAAAAGCTAAACAACTGTAGTGAATCTGGTTTTTCATTAATACTTCTAAGAAGAAATTATAGAACATTTTTTTCTAGAAAACACCAGTTTTAAAATCCAATTATTGTAATTTATGAGTTAAGGATTCACTTGCTGGAGATTTCTTTGGATTCATTTTTACCAGTGGATTAACTAAATGCTTCCTTAATCTCTAGGAGAGCAAATAAATCCAAGTGTAAAGTTCATTATAGGTAGAACAGCTATATTCTCCTTCTGTATATAATTTTGATAGCTTAATTAAAAAATTATTTAACCTTTATTAAGAAATCAAGACCCAAAGAAATTAGATTATTGGGCCAAAGTCACAAAAATAATACTGGGTCTCCTAAGTCCCAGGCTAGGACTCTGCCTTGATATTTGGATAGTTACTTGAGCACTCGTTCTGTCCTCAGAATTCATTGTTTAGGTCACACACATCTTTCTGCCATGAAAAAGTAAAATAGGAAATCACAAACCTTTTGTCATGAAGATCAGCTTGGTCTTCAGCATTGGGAACCCCTCCTCTCTCATTTGTTTACCTTCTTCTCTGAATGTGATGTGGGTTTTCTTGCTCTTTTGAAAGTCAATCTTCATATTTGAGAGTGATCACAGAGAATCTTGATGGCTTTGCTCAGATTATATGAAATTAGCAGTTGGGGGCCATGGAAAGGATTTTCAATTTTTGGTGTTTTTTTTCCTTTTGCCTAGATATATTGCTCTGAAGTTCATAGTAGTTTCGTTTAACTTATGCATGTTCAGACCAATTATCAATGTGTCATTCTCCAAAGCTAAGAAGTCAATATGAAGCTTCCTCTGTAGGCTACTCCCTAGATGTAAAAAACAGAAAAAGCTGTCAGAAATTCTCACTTAACTCTGAAGAACAGGAGTTTAAGTGTGAAACCCCACTGGGTATGGCAAAGGCTCGGATGCCTTAAAAGAGCCCATCATGGAGAAGCACACAAAGAAGGGGGGCAGGGCTCCAAGAACAAAGTGGCTTTTAAACTCACTTCTGAGGGCAACAGAGGAAGTGGAACAAAGCTCCAGGTGCAACTGATATTTCAGGAGGCGGAGTGGACTCGGGATAACTGGTCTCCCGCTAGCAGCGATTCCTCGGCAGGTGAGGGCAGCAGGGTTATTCCCAATGTCGTCTTCAGATTGGACTGAGCTCCCAGCAGCTAGGAAAAAGTAGCAATCAGAAAAAAAAAATTACTTACTTATCCAAATGCCAGCTGATTACGCCACTTTCTCACCTGAACGTAGTTCATGCCATGAGACTGGTTATTTTGTATAAGGATGTTTGCTTGGCTTCAATGGTGTAGAAAATGGATTCAGAATTTAGCCTTTTGGGAAGGCCTCAGGCATGAGGTGGAGGGTTAAAGGCATGTCTCTCAGACCCGCGGAAGGATGGGAGCCAGTAGCACATGGTGAGCTGGTAAGGACACAGGCTTCACCAGTGTCCAAGCTTAAAGCTTCTGACGTTCAGAGTAGAAAATGCAAAGTTCACAGTATAGGTCAGAGGTAGTGCACACCCAAGAGCTGAATCAAGGTGTCAGCTTCGCAGCACAGGATGTTTTCATGAGAATCTTTGTTTTAAAATATGTTTCCTTCTACTAAAGGGCAATGTTGAGACCTAAGCTGTCTTATTGGCTGTAGATCATCTCTCCTGGGAAATTTCCCTTGTAGTCTTTTCTTTAACTCCCCATTCTGGAACAGGAAAGAAAAATATTTCAGGCTATATAGTGCACTAGACAAACCTTGCTAATAATGAACTCTAAATTCTTCTCCTGTACTAGAATTTTATTGAAATTAATTCTACCTTGATCTCTTGATCCCCGGGGACCTCCGTGTTCTCTTCAACAAAATAAAGAAAAGGTCATTAGATGAACTCCAAGAGCCCACGAGGTTCCAGCATTCTAAATTTCTTTGAATGTGTGAATGTTACTTGAGCAAAGGCAGTCACTTGAGGTTTAAACACATTGTGCGGTCTTTGAGCCAAGACAATGTCTTCAATTCCTTTTGCAAAATGCACTGTGCCTTGTACATTGTTCAACACTCAGCAGGTTCTAAATGTATAATTGTTGCCTGGACACTAGAGACAATCAATTATTATAATGATCGTCTCTTTAATGGGTTTGAATTATAGTACTCTTTAGGCATAACCTGCATCTTATTGTAATAATACAAGTGTTTCAGACACTGTGGATCTATCCAAGTGTTTAGGATCCTGGGCAGAAAATATATCAGAATATATTTTTATAATGAGAACTGTAATTTCTCTACATGCAAAACTACCAAAAAATGTAGTCAAATAGTAGGAAATTATATAGAACAGTCTGATGAATTCTAAAAATCTTTTTTCTTATGTTTCCTAGTATAAAACAGGCATAGGCCTATTTATGTAGTGAATTTCCTACATAATCAGCTCATACCACTTTTCGTTGAGTCGCTCTGTAGATATCTATATTAAATGAACTTATTTACAATATGTGTTAGACACACATTGCATGTGTTTAAGGGTAAATTATAAATTTTTCAGAAATGACTTATTTTTTAATTTTTTAAATAAACTAACTAGATTTCATTATCCAGGAAACCTAAGCCCAATATGTAGCAAAAAATATAAAAATAAAAGATATGTACAGGAAGTATTGATAAAATGCAACTGCTCTGTTAAACATAGGGAAGGAAGAGATGGCTCATGGAGGGTGCTAGGAGGAACAGCTTTCCGTGGCAATAAAACCAAACTCATGTTTAAGCAGGACATTGTGAACATTCTGGAAGGGAATATAGAAATAAATCACAAAAATGCAACTCAAAATGGGAGTTCAGTAGATACATTCTCAAGCTTCACTGTTACGCTATGAAAATTCCTCTTTAAATTCTGTGCTTATACTTAACTAATCATCTACAATATTAATGTGAATTACACATCAGAGCATCTGGAGGGCCCTTTTATAGCATCGCCTCTGCCAGGGCTTTTAGTGCCTGCCTTTGGATTCGGGTTTACAACTAAGTTGGCTCCAGGAGCAGTGCGTTTATTGTCAGAGGCTAAAGCAAAAAGGACAGAGGTGGGCTTAATACACGAATGGTGTGTTGACATCCACTAAAGACCAGCCAGCCTTACATTCTCTGCCAGACTGAAGGTTTGCCTATTGTTCAACCAGAGAAAATTGGTAATGAGAACTGAGCATATATGACAAATCCAAAATGACTTACGACATAGCAGTCAGTATTAAATTTACATGGCTTTTTGTTTTAGCCCAACAACCTCATCACATTAAATCAATAATGTTTATTCCAATTGTACTGATTATATAGGACTTGGAGGGTGTACAGATCACCCTCTAGTGATAAATCATTCCAACTACAGAGTTTTGATCCTTGAAGTTGAAGAAAAGAGTGAAAAGTTATAAATATGAAGGAATTACATGCTAGGCCAAGGTATGAGAAAAGTGCTTTTGTTAGCATTTATCATTTATTTTGCCAAGCACATAGAAAATTGCCAGCCTGCTAGATTGTTTGCATCATTTCTTTCCCAATAAGCAAATACCCCCATGTCTCTAACTGAAGAATCATTTTTGAGCTTTAATAACTAGAATTATGTTTTCCAAAGTTCAGTCAAAACAACTCCCAACTTTCCCCCTTCAAATATACAGTGTGCCGTTGGGATCATTAGAACTCAGGTATCACTGCTGATGATGGAAATGAGACAAACTTCTTTTTATGATTTAATTCATTACCTTCTATACTTAGGTCTTGGTTGCCATGCTAAGAATGACAGAAGTCCTCAGGTACATGAGGTAGAGTAGCCTTTATAAAATTTTCATTTTAGGCTATAGGGACAGAGTTATATTCTTGCTATAAGCTAAGCAGGATTTATAAGACAAATTTCAGACTCAAACGGAAAAGGTAGCTATTATTTATAGCAGACAGAAATGTCATCTAGGAGAGACACAGCACTTCCTCAAATGACTTGCATGAACACTGGAATGTATTTTACTGAAACTATACTGATCAGGACAGAATAATATTTTCCGTTTTTCCAAAAGATAATTAGAAATGAGATTCTATCAGGTTAGCCATGGAGTATTTTTTTTACTATACCATCTAATACTCATTTGTAGGCCAGAGCAAGAATTTCCTTAAACTGCACAAATATTCCATGGTAGTGTTAAACAATTTAGGCTTATGTAGGTGGTTTAGCACGGGGCTTTCTGGCCCCACGCTGAGACTGGCACCAAACGAGCTCGCCTGACACTTTATAGGGGATGATGCACAGCCCAGAGCTCCCAGGCACCTTTCATAGCGCGATTTGAAATTCACTTGAAATTACATATGACTGGGGGAGCTTCATCTGGAGACGCCTAATCAGAATCTGTCTTCCCCTTAGTAGAAGTAAAATGAGCCTGTTCATTGTGTCAGAATTCATCTCTAAACTAGAGAAGGCACAATAACCTAAAATCAATGCCAACCCGCTGGATTTGGCTTACACGCTTGAGAGATTGATCCCCAGGCTGTTTTGTCCATTCCTTTCATCACTGTGTTTTCTATTTCAGGGCCCGCTCTTCCTAAGACTCATGTGAAAACAGCCTCTCTTGGGCTGGCTGGAAAGGCAAGGTCTCCTTTGCTTCCTGTATCTGTGCCAACGGCCCCTGAAGTGTCTGAGGAAAGCCACAAACCAACGGAGGATCCAGCCAATGTAAGGGCCCCCTGAAATTCCTGCTGTGGCCCGTGAAGCTGTGCGGTGGAGCCTAACCTGGCCAGCAGTCTCCATTAGCACGCCCATTGTTGCTCTTGTTGTTTGTTCTATCTTCCTGCCCTTAAATATGAAGAGTGCAAACTCCAGGGGAAAATTATATGAGGGATTTAGTTAAATTTAAAGGCAGTCCTAGAAATACAAGCAGATAGCTACAGAATGTGTAACTTTACATACATAGCTATATAATCTATATGTATATATGTGTGTGTTTATTATATTTTTATATATAATACAGCAGGTCCTCAAATAACGTCATTTTGTTCATTATTTTTATTATAATGTTGATGAGATAACATAGGAATTAAACTCTTGTTTATATCAATTAGCCTATAGTAAAATTGGTTTCTTCATATGTCATTTCACTTAAAGTTGCAGAACCCATCAATGACGTTAAGTGAGGACCTGCTGTATATGTATTTCCTTTCCATGGGATGAAGTACCTTGGCACACCTAGAAATAAAACTAAATAATTCTTCTTTAAAACAAAATAAAAATAGTAACAAAAAGCTATACTCCGGGGACTTTTCTAAATAGAAATATGAAATTGAGAAGAAGAAATTACAAAATAAAAAATGAAGGGAGGAATTTAAGAAGGAACTGACATATTTCAAAAATAAAAGGGGAAAGTTTGTTTAATGAGATAAAAAGTGTACTCAGGGAAGAAGCTAAAAAGGGATCAAATAAGAAAATCAATGAAGACAAAAGAATTTAAATTTTGAGAGAACAAACATTTCCCCCCTCCCCCTCCCCCCAAAAAAATGTACTGTAAAAGAGATTTTCAAAGATGTTGCCTAAAGGCAGCAATTTAGAAAACTCTAGAGTGTTTCTGAATCTAATTCAAGAGAAATCATTTAAAAGAAGGGTAAGGAACTAACACATGAGATACCTTGAAAAATAAGGGGACTGGAAGGGGAAAAATAGGAAAAAAAGCAGATTAGAGTCAGCTCATCTGAACAATTTTTTCTCGATTTTAAAAGTATTACAAAAAATAAAACATTTTAACTACATGTATACCAAAGAATCTAGGTATGTGTGAATGTTTGACAGAGGCATGTCATACAATTAACATACTTTTGTATGCTTAAAAAGGATTCAAATTTATAAGAATCTAACATACTACTTTGTCAAAATATAGCTGTTCACTGCAATATTTGTTTCATCCCAGGGTTGTTAGCCATATTTCAAATCAGTTCAAACCTCCGAGTTTATATCTCTTATCTCATAATAAATGTCAGTTGGCCCATTTTTACACCTGTGGTTGACTCTGAGGCATGACAGCCAGAGGTATAATATGAAGAGCAAAGAGATTATACTTTAAAGGAAATACAGAAATGGAAAAAATAATCTATATCAGCACAGTTCTATAGAAGTATAATGTAACCCATGTGTGTAATTTTAAATTTTCTAGGAGCCACACTAAAAGATGTAAAAATAAATACATGAGATTAATTTTAATGTCTTTTATCTAACCCAATATTTCTAAAATATTATCATTTTAACACACAATTACTATAAAAATTGTCACTAAGGTAATTTACATTTTTTGTACTAAGTGTTCAGAATATGGTATGTATAGCACATCTCAATTCAGACTACCCCCATTTCAAAAACCCGACAGTGGCTAGTGGTTTTTGTATCGGGCACTAAGATCTAGATAATTCAAGAAAAGCAAGCTGGACAAGACAGCATGTGGGAAAGAAGTTAGCAACTAATCACCTCAACCTCCCTCGTTATATGTAGACCCATTTTTTGAGCCAAATTGGCTACTTTTCAATCCCCATTAAGCTTTGAAGGTTACACAGTAAATGCGCAGTGCCTTGAATAGCAGGCCCTGGCGGCGTTTCCTTCAGTGAGCCGAGTGGCTTTGCCTACTGCCCGCCAGAGGTGCCCGGGGATCCGCACTCGCCGCGCGTCCTGGCCTGTGCAGAGCTAGTAGTCAGGACTCGGGCCTCAATTTGGCTCAGTAACTTAATCAAAGGAATGAGCTCACCAAGATTAATCAAGTGTGGCAGCTTCGTATTAGTCAAAACAAAGGGCAGGTAGAGAAAGGAAAAAAGAAGCGAACACATATTGAGCAGTTACTACTCGCCAGCACTGACTTGTCGAATCCTCCCATCTACCCAGTGAGCCAAGTTTGCTGTTCCCACGACAAGTAAGGAGAAAGACCCAGAAAGCCAAGTGTGTAAAAGAGCCGGGATTCAAATCAACACCGCAGCCTTGTCTCCCCCTCTGGCCGGCCGTGAGACTTACCGAGACGCTTGAGCGAGAGATTCTACCCCTTGGCAGACCTACTGAATCAACCCCCAGGCTAGGGGCTAGGGGTCTGTGATGGCTGATAGTCCGGTGTCACTAAGTTCGTGGTTCCAGTGATGCACAGTGAGTGAGAGAGAGGGGAGAATATGTTCACTAAGACTCCTGCAGTCCAGCCTCTTTTTATCAACCAATAAAAGTTTGCCGTAAGGTTACCTTTACAGCTATGCATAGAGCTAACTCTGATTTGGGGTGAGAATTTTGTTCCCACACATAAACTGATGTCACAGTCCTCAGACCTTTCATTGGTCAAGGCAGAACCCATCAAGTTCCCAATAACAGTGTGCCTAGGCTGTGTTTCGAAGAAAAGAAACCTGGTGATGCAAATTCTGTTCAGAGCCCCATGTGCTGCCTCTGGAGAGGAAGGAAGCTAATGTATTGAATATGTACCATGTGCTGGACACTGTGATAGGCACTGAACATGCCACAGGATGTTGAGAATAGCCTACGAGATAGATGCCATCATCATTTTATAGCAGACAACTGTACATCTATAAATAGCAGACAACTATAGCAGACAACTGTACATCAGAGAGGTTCACCAACTTGTCCAAGACCACACAGCTGGTGATTGTTAGAACTTGATTTGAAACTAGGCATTTTCTTAATCTAAAGCTTTTTCCTCACTGCAGGGACGAAGTTGCACAGTGAAACACTATGCAATCATTCATCACCTTTCACTACCAGTATCTCCAATCAATGATTATATTTTGAGCACAGCCCCTGGCTACGGGCCACTGTGCCATGCTTGAGAATACAGAGTGAACCAGCTAGACATGGCCCCTGTCTTCACACCAGGAATGCAGGGCTGTTCACCTGTACTAACTCTTTACTCTCATTCTTTCTGTAGGTATACGAACAGGATGATTTGAGTGAACAAATGGCAAGTTTGGAAGGGCTAATGAAGCAACTTAATGCCATCACAGGCTCGGCCTTTTAGCATGTATTGCCGAACAGATGAGGTGAATTTTCCGGGAACCTTGCAGCATACCAATTACCCATAAACAGCACACCTTTGTCCAAGAACTCTAGCCAGTGTACAGGCCAACTGTCAGGACCACTCAGTTCCCGAAGAACCTGAAGCAGTTCAGAAGGAACAGCCGTCCCTTCTGTCATAAGCATCAGGAATTCAAAAATGACAGCAATGGAGTCCCTAAACAAACGCAAGGATACATCCTCACTGCACTGTCAGAGCTGAAGCTGCTAGAATAGTCCTGGGTCTTTCCCACGGCAGTGATCTCACTGTCATAACTAATGCTTGTTTCCCTTCATCCAGGCCTGTCATTTTCTTATGCATAGGTCTAGTCTTACAAAATGCAAGTGCATTATTTAAGCCTGTACCATGCTATGGCAAGTCAGTGCGAGCTCACTCTTTTTGTTTTCAACGTATAAGTACAAAGCACCCCTGGGAATTCTCTCTACATAGCACTGAAGGATTGGATGTTTTCCTGACAGCACAAAAAGTAAATAAGTAAACAAGCAAAAGGCAGCAAATGCTGGTGTTTTGTAAGTCAGTCATTCACCTTGCCCAAGGGGGGTTATTAGCAAGTGGCTGTAAAACTCACCCATTTTAGCAAGTATTTGTAAATCCACCCTTGGTTAGCACTTGTGTCTGGAGAACAGGGACCCGGAGGCATCCTGCCAGCAGCAGCCCCCTGAAAGGGATACAATATGCAGTCTTCTCAGACACGTGGTAATTAGTGCTTAAACTCGTAATAGGACACTTCAATTTGGGTGGCTTTTGTGCCATACCACACTGTGATGACATTTCAAAGCTTCACCAAGGCCATCTTCCTCAGGAGTCTGCTGGAAGAGTTCCCCCC